CCGCACGCTAGCGAAGGCTTCAAACGGAGTTGGCGACAGCCCCGCCCGCCCTTCGACGCCAAAGGCCCAACCCGGCCGGTTCCTCCACGCGGCTCGGACGACCGACGGGCCACGACGACGACGACGACCACGATGACGACGATGGCCTGTGGTCGCGGCGACGTCGAGAATCGCCGCCTCGAGCGTGCGGGCGGCGCTTCCTCGCCGACGCCGCCCCTTCCCGTGGCCTCGCTGCACGCCGCTGGCGCTGCTGCTGCCGCACCCATGACGACGACGACGGACCTGCCGCCGCCCGACTATGATGCCGTGCAGGCTTCTGGCGGCGCTGCGGCCCCTCCGCCTTTGATCACGACGCCACTGCCTGCTGTGACGAGGCACTGAAGGACCGTTGATGTTTCTTCTTTTTTTTTTCTTTTTTTCTTCTCCATCGGAAAGGGTGACGGCATTATCGAAAGTCCTGCCTACCTTGTGTAGGTTGGAGACGGGCGTTCATGGACAGCAATGGCTTTTGATACCAGGTGTTCGACAGAGCGGGCGTGGGTTTCATTTGTACGATACTCATAACGGCAGGCACGGAGATATAGATAGGACACGATGCACCACACAATACCCGCTCCAATGCAATTCAATCAACAGCGCACAGCGAACCGCAAAAGGTAGTCATATGCTTCTTATTGCACTCCTCCGCCATATCTCTACACGCATTTTTTGGTCGCCCCCGGTCACAATCCCGCATCCTCTCGTGCAATCCTTCCACTGTTGCAGCCATCAACGTCGGGTCTCCCCTTGCCCGGCAACCACTTGACTGCACGCATGGGCTTGAACCAACGCCGGCGCCATGTCCCCTTCCAGTCAACACCACGGGGGACAGCCACCAAAAGAAAACAAAAAACTATGCTATAACACCCTCTGCGGGCAAGGAATGTGAGTCGAGTGGCACATGACCAAGCTCACCCCATGTTCTCCCATCGCACCACCCATCTATAAAAACGATCCATGATCGCGTGAGCACCCTGATTCCTGGGTCTCCATCGGCCAGAGAGGCAGAAAAGAAGAAGAGTACAGCCCCACGGCGCGACAAATGGCAAGAGGAAGCATTGCAATGCATTAGAAACCCCGGACCACCCCGTCCGCTTCACCTAGGTATCACCCACCCTTCGTGTCCTCCAGCGTTTGCGCAAGCTTGACTGCGAGCTCTGGCGTCTTGACTTGCACCATCCATGTCTCCAGACCATCTCCGGTCTCATTCGACGTCATCAGCTTCACGTACTTGGTCTGCCCCTTGTAGGTCTCGCTCGGCAGCAGGCTGCGGTTGAAGACGACATGCCCCCGCGGTTCGGCACGCAGAAGCATGCGCACGGCGCCTGTCGTCTTGTGCTT